AAAAAATCAAATGAATTGTACAAATATGCTTTTAAACATTATTTGTTCAGTATGTATATGATCATAGTTTTCGACGTATCGTATATGCAGCAAGAGATTCATTTGAAAATGATATGGCAAATAAAACAACTCCTTTCAGGGTCTTGATATTTTACATGCAACTGCTTTGGGCTATGCTTTATTGTAACTGTCCATCCATCATATTAAAAATGTGCAGAAAATAAACTGATCTTTCGAATGGGGAAATTACATACTGTTGATACTCACGCTTTATTGTGGGGAGATGAAACATAATACGAGGTTGAAAATGAATACCTATTTTCCATTGTACATGCAAACGAGTATTATTTACTGCCATTGACATTAACTGTGTCAAACATCTTACGACCACTGCTACCGGTAACCTTGACTTTTTTCAAATGACCTTGGTTTAATAAATACACTGTATTATCTTTCGTATGACGTAGGGACTGGAACTTAGATTTCACCTGTTTTTTTTATATGTAATTTCATAAGTTAAACCTTTTCGTTCATTTCAGTACTATAAGCGTAGGAATTTTCGGGATGTGCATGTGAGAGTGTAGTCAGACCCGAAGCACTGTTAAGGACAGACGATATGAACAAACGCTTGTCAAAAAAGATACCTAGTCTAAGCTAGGTAAATTTGATCAACAGAAACATGAAACATTCTCAGAAATTAAATGTATATTATGTAAGAAGAGAGTCGTGGTAAAGTGATACAGTTATTTTGTCTCTGGCATTACAGATTTTTGTTATGACACTCTAAGCGTGATCTTTAGTCCGACAGATTAAGGTATGTCTTACATGTTAACACTAAGGTCTCATAAACACAAGTCTATACAAACATATCATAGTCCCCAGCTCGATCTATCGGTCTCCTTATCGGTTAGAAAACACCGGGGATTAATTTACAACGTCTTCACATCGATTGACAAGCTCGCTGGGGTAAGTAGACTTCGATAATGTGATTTAGGGCCAGGAGACAGAAATTTCTATCTATCAGATGACAATTAGACACTTAATAAATATTCCTTCAAATTCTAAAAGATGTCTGCTTAGAAGAAAGTGTTTTATAAATATAAAATGAGTATTAGATATTTTCTCTCATATCAGTTTTTATATTTCACTTTTCAATGTATCGTACAATTCATTTACCTACCTTTACCAACTTTATGTTTCAAAAGACTGAAAATAATAGACAGTTTTTAAAATATGATAATTTGTAATTTGCTACAAAATGCCTATTAATCTGAATTTTTTTGAAGAAGTTGGTTTAGATCGTGCAAACATGTATATTGTATCTGTGCTGTCCAGTGTTCTCTATCTGCATTATGTGACACGAGAATTTTTCTGTTTATATTTGGATTTATTTATTTATTTTTCTTTTTAACATGTTAACGTTATTTACTTTTCTGAACCCCTTTTTCTCTTTATTTCAAGTGCAATCTTTTCTTTCTTATTCAAATTCCTTGAATCTTTAAGACTCTGAGTTATAAGAAATATGTTTGATACTTACAATCAGCAACAACGCGTTAACGCGAAGTGACATCGAGCCATCACGAAATAACAACTAGCCCTTGTGTTGTGAATAAGGTGCCTGGTGTGTTGTCTTGTGTTGTGAACAAGGTGCCTGGTGTGTTGTCTTGTGTTGTGAACAAGGTGCTTTGTGTGTTGTCTTGTGTTGTGAACAAGGTGCCTGGTGTATTGTCTTGTGTTGTGAACAAGGTGCCTGGTGTGTTGCCTTGAGTTGTGAACAAGGTGCCTGGTGTATTGTCTTGTGTTGTGAACAAGGTGCCTTGTGTATTGTCTTGTGTTGTGAACAAGGTGCCTGATGTGTTGTCTTGTGTTGTGAACAAGGTGCCTGATGTGTTGTCTTGTGTTGTGAACAAGGTGCCTGGTGTGTTGTCTTGTGCTGTGAACAAGGTGCCTGATGTGTTGTCTTGTGTTGTGAACAAGGAGCCTGATGTGTTGTCTTGTGTTGTGAACAAGGTGCGTTGTGTGTTGTCTTGAGTTGTGAACAAGGTGCATTGTGTGTTGTCTTGTGTTGTTGAACAAGGTGCCCGGTGTGTTGTCTTGTGTTGTGAACAAGGTGCCTGATGTCTTGTCACTTCCAGCAGATGTCGCATGCAGTCGTGTTTAGATTTCCCACACGGAGGTCTTGCTGTAGAGTGATTCCTCTCTAGGAAGTTATAGAACTCTAGAGCCATTCTTTCCCCCAAAGTATCGAGAGTAAGTCTACCCGTGCAAGGAGGACCCCTGACTCTCCCTGTAAGATTTGTTAGAGAGTAATCTTTTGGGAATGACCCAATCTAAAGCCATGTTTCTCCGTCTTGCTCCAGAATAAAGCAACTCCCTCCTCTAGCAAGGTAAATTCTAAAGTTAACTTACTGAAAAGGAAAAGGATGAAACATTTAATAGTAACTTATATATAATACTAGTGCTCATACTGAATAACTTTGATTTATTAAAGTATAAGACTGATGAGTACGGTTTAAATGATCTAAGCCGACGAAGCAATTCTATTAAATTTCTTTGCAAGAATTCAAATATTTTACGATATCAGTCTTAAAACGAAAGTGTTACACGAAAAAACAAAAGCTATGTACAGTATTGTCAGACAGACGGACAGCTAGTGATGAATTAGGTTTTCCCGCAAGAATGTGGGGCCCTAGGGTGATACTTATCCAGAGGTGGGTCTCTTGCTCTAGAGTCATAAATCCCCGGGGGTGTCGGGGGGGGGGGGTCTCAATCTTATGTCTGACTATTACTACACATCATAGATCTGATCTACAGAGATTATTTAAGTATCGGAGTATTGAATGATTAAACTCACAGAGAGCAGCATCCCCCGAAGGGATGTTGAACTATAATTACGGCACTTCCTGGTTTGTTGATATCTAGAAATAGATTTGACATATAGAAAAAAATAATGAAAATATTAATAGTTTCTGTAGGAGATAAAGTCTCAAACAGAGACAAAACCAATTCATATATATCAGAAAGAAGGAACAACGATGTCATATAGAAAATACTTTTTTGATCTATATGTAAGGTAACTTTTTCGTCATGCTTCCTTACAATTTGAAAATCTGTTAATTTGCATTTCAAAACCGTTGAACCAGTTTTCAATGCCTTTTCCACTGGCGGATTTAGAGGGAGGCCCAAGGGTTGATAAAATCAATCTTCTTCATTTAAAAAAAAAGATGTGCTTGTGGAACACAGATGTCCCCGTATGGCAGCTTATGACGGGGGTCGAATTTTCTCAATTGCAAGTTAAAGTCCAAGGTCAAAGTCAAAAGGTGAAAATTGTTGGTACCCCTTGGAGGGTCTTCTAACAAGGAATTCACAAGCCCTAGTAATAAGGGTTCAAAGGTTATAGTCAAGGTTTAAGTTTTTCAAAAGTAAGTCAAACTCCAAAGCCAAGGTCAAATTTGTTGGTACATGCATGTATCCAAAGGAAGGTCTTGCCACAAGAAATACACCTGTGAAATATAAAAGCCCTGGTCCTAACGGTTTTAAAGTTATTGTCAGGGCTAAAGTGGGCCAAACTCTAAGGTCAAGTTCAAATGTCAAATAATTTTATAACCAGTGAAAGGTCTTGTCGCAGTGAATACACATGTGTTGTATGAAAGGCCTTGCCCCATTTACCGGTATTCAAAAGTTATATATGACTATGGTTAAAGTTTTAAAGTGTGTCAAACTCCAAGGTCAAGGTCATAAGGCTAATTCGGAGGTACCAAAAGAAAGGTTTTGTCACAAGGAAGATATATATATACCTGTTAAATATGAAAGCTCTAGCCCCACGTACTCAAAAGTTATGGACAGGGTTAAAGTTTTTGCGGACAAACAGACAAACAGACAGACGGACGGACAGGGCAAAAGCTATATACCCCCGAAAGTTCGATAACGGGTGCTTAAACAGTGAAATGCATATATTTGTTGTAATTAGCGTTATGAAATTTCGATCTCAAAAGAACAGGAGCCGGAAAAATAAAAATAAAATTACTAATCGGATAAATCCTTTCTCTGTCTGGCCTGGATAAACCTTAAAAAACAACACCTAAGGTTTCTTCGAAAATCTTTTTCCTTTGACATCAAGATATCCACCTGTTCAGGGGATACACAGTTCTCTAAAGGATTCATTGGGCCTAACCTTCATGGTCTGAGAAATCTTCGGTATATGCGTGATGGGCTTCGAACTCGATTAACGGAAAATATGAATTTGTGCGTAAATCTCTTTACATACCAAGAACACTCCCCCCCCCCTCCCGGAAAATTTTTGCAGTTCATTTCAGCACAGCCAGTAACATGCATTTGCATTACATGTTTCAATAGTTATGTTTCCTTTATACGTTTGAAAAAAGAAATCGGTAAAATTCCTAATAAAAAGTTGTGGTTTTTCTATCTTTTGACCTAACTAACGATTGCATAAAAGAAAAACTCTTAGAATTATTACATCAGCGATCACTCGAATTTTCAAGTATGTATGCCAGGAATTTGAAGAATTAAAATTACTTATTACATTGTACGGCCTATGTATAAAAGCTTCATAATTGTACATAGGGACATCTGATATAGTTTTATATTAAAGCAAAATTGACTAAGGTGATGAATATACCTGTATGTATCATGAGAAAAATATAAAATGCATTAAATCTAAATAATAAAATCTGGAATCTGAGTTCTAATTCAGCTCGTCTTATAACATTTATTTAAATTATTTTTTTGTGTGTGTCATTAAAAATAGAAGTTGACTATGCTAAAACTTTTGTGACACACTCGTCAAAATATTCATGCATACTGCGATTGAGGTTTTTTAATGACGAAACAGATATCTCATTTAAAATAGGAATTAGATCATTGATGAAAAAAGGAACTTTTGCCTGCTGGAATAATCAATCAATAAAATTCGACAACTGTGGTCTCTGAAGGCAGGATAGAAACAATGCGTCTGAATTATGCAAGACAATTTAATTTAGGATTAGAGGAAACGTCTGTGTTTTATTTGCGAGTATAAATAAACAATGACATATCGTTTTATTAAATGACACACGCGCGATTTTGATACTACAATTCAGTGAATAGTGTATACCTGAAATCTCATTTTAAAACTGTACTGTAACACGTTGAGCTGCTTTTGACATCAGAATGACCCGGGCCGAAAAATGAAACTGTTGGTTTGATTAGATAAAGTGGGTGTATCGGTCAGAAGTGTATTCAGTTTGCTAACACTGGGATAAGTTGTAATTGTTAAAGTAATTAACCTACAAGAAATGATTCCACGCGAACTATGGACATAACTCAACACACAAAAGGAACTTTATGACTAACACATGGGGACTTCTTGATTTCGTTACTTCACGTTGAAAATAAAACTTGGAATTTAATTCATTAGAATTCAGGTAAGTAAATAAATGTTATAGACTCATACAGATTGGTATTTTTTATGAGAATGCTAAACTTCGACGTTACCGTTCATGTTATGTAAATAAATTTTATAGTTTATGACTGTCGCCACACAAGCGAGGTCAAGTGTATTATAAAGGAAGAATTTATAAATAAAACTACACTCTTAAACGTCGCTGATTTTTAGAAACCACAATTTTTTTGTTACTTGGAAGCACATTTTTAAATGCACTTTGAAGTGTTTTTAAAGGGCAGTTGTACAGAACATAATCTAATACATCCAAGTTTTCCATATAACCCAAATGAATTAATATATATTCAGTATAAGACTAGAAGATGCACATTTATTGCTGTTTGTGTGTCTGTCCGTATACATAAGCTGTCATGTATGCAAAGAAATATTACTTCGTCTTCTCAGCAATGTTTATGAACATAGTCTTTTTACATGCACTAAGTACTGACACCATTTTTCTACAAAGATCATTCAAAATCTCTATTAAAGCAACTATGTGATTTTTTATGTCAGTTGGTGTTAATTATGATTTTGAAATGTGGATAGAAGGCTGCAACTTTGTTTGTGACATGCCTCTTGAGAGTGACCCCCCACCCCCTCAAAGAAAAACGCTCTTCTTAGCCTAAATTAAAGGTAGTGTTGCAACTAGATCTGTTTGTGAAGCTTTTTAACTGAAAATACATACATGTATACCTCTGTAATTTCCTGTTAAATAGGGTGTGTTTGTTATTTTTTTGATATAGTATTTATGTGTTAAAACATGATTAAGCATTATTTAGTTTGCTTGTGACAGTTTGTAGTGCGAGAACTCTATGTCTGTCAGTATTGAACTTCGTAGTTGTCTTGCTTCCTTTTATTTATTTATATTTATATCGTAAGTCCCTTTTTTAAGTCTAAAATTAAACTAAAAAATATTCAGAGATAAGAGTATAAAATTAAAGGAAATAACAGTCTGATTAAAATCAAACCTTCACTAGCTCCTTTTTATTTTTTTTCACGCGACAAACAAAATAAAAAGGAGCTAGTAAAGGTTTGATTTTAATGAGACTGAGGAAATAACAGTTGCAAAACAAAGTCCATGTGGTACTGATGAAGAAAAAACAAATTCCAGACTGCCTGGACGTAGGCGTTCTACGTGAGAGTATATAAACAGATTTACATGTCTCTGTCAGGGTCTTAACAAAGACACTTAACAAGGCCTAGATAAACGTGAGTATTATATGTATAGTACAACTACACAGGGACTCAACAGCTACAAACTTACAAATAAAACAAAACTGTTAAGGAAATGAAGTCTGCAGACATATGTACTATATGTACAAAAGCTACATACGAGATGCAATCTTAGTACATATATTATGCAATCAGGAAGGGATTTAACTAATCAAATAAAAGTATCACTATATTCACAATTAGTGTTTTGAATTCATTGAGACTTCTTCTTATAGAAGATACTAAGTAAAATTGATTCAAATTAGTTATTTCACCTATTTACCTAACTTCATATGTGATTCCTTTTATCTGACATTTCTCTGTTATTCATTTCTGGGAGAAAGTTTACGCCACAAGGAAGTTTTTCAGAGATTTGAACATAAACACGATAAAAGATAAGTATGTCTGATTTTGGATACAAATTGGTATATTCGCGCAGATTAACTGAGTACGTATTGAACTAAGAGATGGGGAGTATGGTGAATTCCTTATACAACCTGTAAAGTACATTTACAATCCTAAAAAAAATTGGCTTACTTTTGAAATCTCCATTTGTTAGTGAGGTTCACAGCAGACATGAATAAATGATTGTAATTGCTGGCGGTTTTAAATTTTCACATTTCTAATTGACACAAAATGCACGATCTGTGAAAGAACATATGTTTCGGCGTGTTGAAGTGAGATGTTTGGTCATTTTTAAAGACGGATTACTTGAAATACAAAACTAATTGTGTCTTAGATTGATCGTGATTTCATGTCCAGGAGAAATATCAGGTATGTTCTTTCAGTGTCAAGAAATAACGAGTTCAGGGGCTCAGTTAACAGTCTGTCACAGGAAACTGCTATATAATATTTTCTCTGTGTATAGCTGCATATACGCTTTGATCTGAGAAAAAAACCAACATATACTTGTTTCCACTTTTTGCTTAATGAGGGTCTTGCTCTCAGGTGTAAATTTGCTCGAATATTTAAAAAAATATCAAAATTAATATTTCAGTATAAATTATCAAATTTCTGCCTAAAAAAGCGGTCGCATTCAGGTTGATGTATTCTATTAAATAATCTTTGTTATGCCCCCGTAAACGAAGGGGTATACAGTTTTTGCCATGCCCGTCCGTCTGTCTGTCTGTCCGTAAAAACTTTAACCTTGCCCATAACTTTTGAGTGGGTGGGGCTACGCCTTTCGTATTTCACAGGAGGATTTCTTGTAACAAGACCTATCTTTGGGTACCACCAAATTTGACCTCTTGACCTTGGTGTTTGACCTACTTTTACCAAAAAACACACTTTTACTTTGGCCATAACTTTTAAACGGTTGGTGCTAGGACTTGCATACTTCTCGTATGTATTTTGTGTGACAAGACTTTCATTGAGTTCCAACAACTTTGACCCTTTGACATTGACGTAGGAGTTTGGCCTACTATAAAAAACAAGAGGCCCATGGGCCACATCGCTCACCTGATCACCAAGGGTAGGACTAGTATAAAATGGCTTTTTATTGTAAAGTTTAAATCCAAAAGTAGTCCCATGACCAATCATGGATTTGCTATTTTTTTAGAAAATGATTGAGAAGAAGATTTTTAAAGAATTTTCCTATAAATTTCTATGTAAAACTTTGGTCGGCCATTTTGGCCCCGCCCTACCCCCGGGGGTCATGATTTGAACAAACTTGAATCTACACTACCTGAGCATGCTTCCATATAAATATGATGAATTATGGCTTTGTCATTCTTGAGAAGAAGATTTTTAAAGAATTTTCCTATATATCTCTATGTAAAACCTTGGTCGGCCATTTTGGCCCCGCCCTACCCCCGGGGGTCATGATTTGAACAAACTTGAATCTACACTACCTGAGCATGTTTCCATATAGATATGATGAATTATGGCTTTGTCATTCTTGAGAAGAAGATTTTTTAAGAATTTTCCTATATATTTCTATGTAAAACATTGGTCGGCCATTTTGGCCCTGCCCTACCCCCGGGGTCATGATTTGAACAAACTTGAATCTACACTACCTGAGCATGCTTCCATATAAATATGATGAATTATGGCTTTGTCATTCTTGAGAAGAAGATTTTTAAAGAATTTTCCTATATATTTCTATGTAAAACTTTGGTCGGCCATTTTGGCCCCGCCCTACCCCCGGGGGTCATGATTTGAATAAACTTGAATCTACACTACCTGAGCATGCTTCCATATAAATATGATGAATTATGGCTTTGTTATTCTTGAGAAGAAGATTTTTAAAGAATTTTCCTATATATTTCTATGTAAAACTTTGATCGGCCATTTTGGCCCCGCCCTACCCCCGGGGGTCATGATTTGAACAAATTTGAAGCTACACTACCTGAGCATATTTTCATATAAATATGATGAATTATGGCTTTGTCATTCTTGAGAAGAAGATTTTTAAAGAATTTTCCTATATATTTCTATGTAAAACTTTGGTCGGCCATTTTGGCCCCGCCCTACCCCCGGGGGTCATGATTTGAACAAACTTGAAGCTACACTACCTGAGCATGCTTCCATATATATATGATGAATTATGGCTTTGTCATTCTTGAGAAGAAGATTTTTAAAGTATTTTCCTATATATTTCTATGTAAAACTTTGGTCGGCCATTTTGGCCCCGCTCTACCCCCGGGGGTCATGATTTGAACAAACTTGAATCTACACTACCTGCACATGCTTCCATATAAATATGATGAATAATGGCTTTGTCATTCTTGAGAAGAAGATTTTTAAAGAATTTTCCTATATATTTCTATGTAAAACATTGGTCGGCCATTTTGGCCCCGCCCTACCCCGGTGGTCATGATTTGAACTTGGATCCACAATACCTGAGGATGCTTCCAAATAAAAATGACCAATTATGTCTTTGCTATTCTTGGGAAGATTTTTAAAGAATTTTCCTATATATTTCTATGTAAAAGTTTGGTTGGCCATTTTGGACCCGTCCTACCCCCAGGGGTCATGACTTGAACAAACTTGAATCTACACTACCTGAGCATGTTTCCATATAAATATGATGAATTATGGCTTTGTCATTCTTGAGAAGAAGATTTTTAAAGAATTTTCCTATATATTTCTATGTAATACTTTGGTCGGCCATTTTGGCCCCGCCCTACCCCCAGGGGTCATGACTTGAACAAACCTGAATCTACACTACCTGAGCATGTTTCCATATAAATATGATGAATTATGGCTTTGTCATTCTTGAGAAGAAGATTTTTAAAGAATTTTCCTATATATTTCTATGTAATACTTTGGTCGGCCATTTTGGCCCCGCCCTTACCCGGGGGGTCATGATTTGAACAAACTTGAATCTACACTACATGAGCATGCTCCCATATAAATATGATGAATTATGGCTTTGTCATTCTTGAGAAGAAGATTTTTAAAGAATTTTCCTATATATTTCTATGTAAAACTTTGGTCGGCCATTTTGGCCCCGCCCTACCCCCGGGGGTCATGATTTGAACAAACTTGAATCTACACTACCTGAGGATGTTTCCCCATAAGTTTCATCTTTCCTGGCACAGTGGTTCTTGAGAAGAAGATTTTTAAAATATACCACTAAATTTTCATTAATTCCCAATTATCTCCCCTTGAATAAGGGCGTGGCCCTTCATTTGAACAAACTTGAATCTCCTTCACCCAAGGATACTTTGTGGCAAGTTTGGTTGAAATTGGCCCAGCGGTTCTTGAGAAGAAGTCGAAAATGTGAAAAGTTTACAGACAGACAGACGGACAGACAGACAGACAGACGGA